GTCAAGGGTGGAGGTTTGTGCAGCACCTCAGAGCAACAAACAACACTGTTATCCCTCCACACCCTGTTGTTCCTAATCCTTGTATGTTGCTAACATCCATTCCCACCAGATGTAAATTTTTTACTGTAATTGATTTATGCAGTGCATTCTTTAGTATTCTAGTTGATGAAGCTACCTACCTACCTTTTTGCCTTCACTTGGGAAGAAAAACAATTCACCTGGACAGTAATATCTCAAGGTTCTACTTGAGACATTACTTCTTATTTCTTGGCAAATCCTAGAAGCTGATCTGGATGATATAAAGTCCCCTAGAGGTTCTACTTTGTTGCAATATGTAGATGATTTACTTCTTTTCTCTCTTTCTCAAGGTTTCTCACAGAAAGACAGCATCCACTTGCTAAAGCTTTTAGCCTCAGAGGGACCGAAGTTCACCAAAGAAAAATTGCAGTTTGCCCGAACCCAGGTTTGATATTTAGGATATCTGATATCAGAGCAAGGGCTACACTCAGATCCAGATAGACTTCATGGTGACCTAGGTTTCCTAAAACCCAAAACTAAGTGCCCACTGGGAGGTTTTCTTGGGCTAGTTGGTTATTGCCAAAATTGGATTTCAAATTTCTTATGGCCAAACCTCTGTAATATTTTACTAAACAATAACAACCTGGACCCAATTTTATGAGAGGAACCAGACAACATAGTTTCCAAGGCCTTAAAGGAGAGTTTGATGAACCCACTTGCTCTTGGGCATTGCAGTTATCAGATTCCCTTTCTCCTTTTTGTTTATGAAAAGGAAAAGAATGCCCTGGGGATATTCACCCAAAAACATGGGACCACCATTGATGCTTAGGGTATTATAGCCAGCAACTGGACCCTGTGGCATGGGGACACCCTCCTTGCCTTAGAGCCATTACGGCCACTGCCCTTTTGGTTAAGAGCACCAAGAAAATTATTGTGGGATCCCCTTTAACCATCTTTGTACCTCATGCAGTAGAAGCCTTCCTGAGTTCTCATCACACTCAACATTTCTCAGTCAGCTGCCTCACCTCCTATGAAGGCCTTTTGTTAACTGCTCCTCACATAACTCTTTTACGCTCTAATAACTTTTAACCCTGCTACTCTTCTCTCCTCCAATACATATGTGAGACTTCAGAGCCAAACTCTGAGTTTCGCTTCTTTTTCAGATGAAAAGTATGATAAAATGAGTGGACCTAGGTTCCAGCAACTGTAAAGGGAGATCTAGGATATTTAAAGCATGGTTTTGCAATCACACAGACCTGGTACAAACCCCAGTTGCATCATTTACTGACTCTGTGGTCTTGGGGAAGTCACTTCCTCTCTCCAGGCTTCAGTTTTCTCTTTTAGGAGGTGGAGATAAGCTGACAAGTTGGCAGATAGCACAAGCCAGCCCCAGGTCAGGGGGATACCCAGGAGCCACAGGGAAGTTGGCAGATCAGAGAAACTAGCCCTGTGGCTACCAGAAGAGGGCCGGGCTGGGGTGTGGACAATGGCAGCCCAGAGCAGAATAGGACACAGCCCCATCAGAGTTTTCTGATAGATACACACTTTCTTCTTCCCCACCTTGCCCGGGGCAGACCCTGGCCAGCCCTATAGCTGTCACCATACTATTACTGCAGGCTGAGAAGCCACTGGCTGGGTGAGGGTGGCTTACAGCCTCTGGGTGGGGAGGGAAGTCAAAAACAAGTACAAGGCAGTGAACTGGCCTGTACCTTAGCTTCTCTTCCACCACTCCTCTTCGCCCTCCTGATACCTTAGGCACTAGGTTATGGCAATCATGGGTGGCAGCTTCTAGTAAGAGTCCTACCTGGATAGAGAGAGGTACAGGCAGGTTCTTCAGGGATGCAGATGTCTGCTCAGGACAGTATAAACCAGGAGGTATAGACTGTACACGAGCGTCTCCTTCTCAACTCACCAGGAAAAGTTCAAGCTACACTTGGGCTCTTCCCCCTCCCCCAGGCACTCAGTCCTGGCCCCAAAGAAATAGGAGCTCACAGGGGCAGATAAGAGACAGCTAAGGGACACACACCCATCAAGAGAAAGACAACATACAGGGCAACCTTATCCAGACACAGCAGAGTTCATGGACTAGGCAGGACAGGAAATGAAATACCCATTTTAAGTATTATTCTAAAAAGGAAAAGAGAGGATTGGGGAAATATGAAGGAGGAACAAGAAGTCATACAGAAGAACCAACTATAGAGTCAGACATGAAAAATGTCATAGATGAAATAAAGACCTCAAAGTTTGGGGTGAATAGCAAAGTGGATATAGCCAAAGAAAGACCAAATAAGCAAGTATTGATATTAAGATCAGGTTGAGAAAATCTCCTAAAAAGCATGAAGAAGGTATAGATATTTTACATGGTACCCCAGTACACGTACACACACACACACACACACACACACACACACACACACACCCTTAAGTTTCATGAGAGGGTGTTATTGTCCACTGTATTCCACATATATATAACATATATATATAAAACATATATATATGATATAAATTGATTTCACAATTCACTAATGTCTTAAACTACAGTTTGGAACACAGGACTGGAGTCATACTGTTAGGCTCTCTTGCTAAGCATTACTTCTCTCCAGAGGAATGATTTCTTTGAATAGTGAGTTTGGGAGAAGACAGTAGGTATGCTCAACCCAGCTGCTTCTGGGCTCTTCTGCCCTGCCCATCTGTAGAGATGGTGAATCAGGATGCTCTCTGACTGCTCGGGAGGGACCTGGTCCTGTAAGGTTTCTAGACAGTTTCTGTTCTCACTTCAGTGCCTACCCCTTTCCAACTATTTGGTGCCTCTGCCATACTGGCTGTTAATATTCTTAGTATAAAACTCCTGCCCTTGCATGATGAGTTGAGTCACTGATCTGGTGGGTAGTCCATCTGTTTCAGGAGAAAGTATCAGCAAGTCTATTTCGGCCCCATGTCTAAGCCACTTTCTCCAATTCAGCATTTACTGACAACAAAGATGACATTTTTCTCTCCATTTGAACATCTTCTTTGTCTTCCCCATTAGTTCTAAACTTGGGGAGCTGAAGCATTCTTTATAAACCTGCTGTTATGGACCAAATGGTGGTATCCCCCCAAAATACATTATGTTGATGCCCTAATCCCCAGTGTAATAGTAATGATAGTATTTGGAGGTGGTGCTCTTGGGAGGTAATTAAATTTAAATGAGGTCAAGAGGGTGGGGCCCCACCATGGGATTAGCGTCCACATAAGAGGAAGAGAGAGCAGAGCTCGCTCTCTCTGCCACATGAGTACAGTGAGAAGGTGGCTGCCTGCAAGTCAAGAGGGCACTAGCTGGGAACTGAATCTGCTGATACTTTGATCTTGGACTTCCTAGCCTCCAGAGCTGTGAGAACTAAATTCTTATTGTTTTTCACCCAGTCTGTGGTATTTTGTTATGACAGCTCAAGAAGATTAAAACATCTGCTAAGATTTAACAGTGTTGGGGCTTCCCTGGTGGTGCAGTGGTTAAGAATCCGCCTACCAATGCAGGGGATATGGGTTTGAGCCCTGGTCTGAGAAGATCCCACATGCCACGGAGCAACTAAGCCCGTGCACCACAACTACTGAGCCTGCGCGCCTAGAGCCTGTGCTCTGCAACAAGGGAAGCCATTGTAATGAGAAGCCCGTGCACTGCAAAGAAGAGTAGCCCCCACTCGCCGCAACTAGAGAAAGCCTGTGTGCAGCAACAAAGACCCAATGCAGCCAAAAATAAAATAAAAAATAAAAGAATAAAGGGCTTCTCTGGTGGCACAGTGGTTGAGAGTCCGCCTGGCGATGCAGGGGACACGGGTTCGCGCCCCGGTCCGGGAAGGTCCCACATGCCACAGAGCGGCTGGGCCCGTGAGCCATGGCCGCTGAGCCTGCGCGTCCAACGGGAGAGGCCACAACAGTGAGAGGTCCGCGTACCGGAAAAAAAAAAAAAAGATTTAACGGTGTTAAATGGTGCCAGGAGGTCAAGCAAGATAAGAACTAAGATGCCACCAAGGGATTTACCAACAAGGGGTTTGTTAGAGACCCTGGTGAGAACAGCTTCTCTGGGTGGGTGGGTCAAAGAATAGGAAATGCAGGGCTAAAATGGAAAGGAGAGGTAGCAACCAGAGGCATAGGAAACAGGAGAGATCTGAGCATACCGGGGGATGACTAGAAAAAAGCCCAGAGTCCTCCCTGTTGTATAAGATGGCTTGAGGTGGTTTACAGTAAAACTGTACCCATTCTCCTCACAGGGTCCTCCTCTTAAGTACCCCAAGGCCCGTTTCTCCTGCTTTTCCTCCTTGTGTTACATCTGGAAACTTTGGCAGTCACTGGGGGTCACGGAGGACAAAGTGGTCAGGTCTAAACAGACTCCTGGACCTGCCTGCTTCATCAGGATGCCAAGAGACCGCAAGAGAGCAGAACCCCTGGGAACCAGGCAGCAGCCAAGGCAGGGTAGAGAGTACTAACAGTCATGGACCTGGGTTCCAGTCCTGTTTCTGCACTCCATAACCTGCCATCCCATAGAATTCCTTTCCGAGATCTTGAGGGATCCAGGAAACAGATCGCCTGGGTTTGAATGCAGGCTTCACCAAAGCACTACGGTGTGGCTTGGGCCTCGGTTTTCCCTTCTAAGAGGCACTGTTTTAAGGGGTAACCTAGAACAGCTGTGAGCTAACCCCTTGGCACACAGCAAGTGCTCGGTAGATGCCAGTATCACCGCCTCTTGTCCTGCCCAGGCACAGCCTCTCGCTCCACATCGCACCTTGCAGAGTGGGCAGGAGGTCCCCGCGCTCCGGCCAGCGCCCCCACTCCAGCCGCCAGGGCGCGGGCGGCCTGTCGCGACAGCGGCGGGGCATTGTGGGGCTTGTAGTGCGGGTCTCGGTTGGGTGGGTGGGCGCGGCCGAGGCAGTTCGCAGCGGGGCCATCTTCGGCAGGCCGGCTGGCTCGGCCTGTGCAGCCGGTACCCGCGCCCCTCGCCTGGCCCGATGGCGCCGCGGCCGCTAAGCCCGTTGGTGCTGGCGCTGGGTGGCGCGGCGGCCGTGCTCGGTTCGATGATCTTCATCCTCTGGAAGACCTACTTCGGCCGCGGACGGGAGCGGCGCTGGGACGGCGAAGCCTGGTGGGGCACGGAGCCTGCCCGCCTTCCGGAGTGGGACGAATGGGACGTGAGTACCTGGAGGGGATCTGCGCCTCCGCGCGCGCAGCCGAGGGGTGTGACCGCCGCCCTGCGGGGCTGGAGCTTGACGCCGCAGGCCTCGCGCGGGTGGGCGCGCGTCGGGCGGCCGGGAGTCCCGGAACCGAGGAACGGGTGGGCGTTTGGGGGAGTGTGCGATGCTGCGCCGCCGTAGGCCTAGGGCTTCCTCCGGGCAGCCGGAGCCTGTCGGGCCCGCGCCGGGCCCAGCCGGCGCCCGCCCGGCGCCTGCGCAGTGCGCGCGGGCCGGGGGATGCCGGGAGAGACCCTCCGCCCCCTCACCCTGCCCGCGCGGTTCATTTGCGTGTTACCCCACTCGGTGGTTCCTTTCGCTGTGGGATGTGGAGATTGTCAGTCTGAGGAGGCTGACGCTCCGCGAGGGGTAGGAATTTGCCCGAGGTCACTCAGGAAAAACCTGAAGAACGGGTCTTGAGACTCAGGACTCCATAGGCCCCACCAGTCCCTTTGCTGCTAGTCCCTTTGCAGCAGAGCGGACCTGGCTGCCCCTTTAACGGCGGCAGGGCGGGGATGGGCGCTTTGGGCCTTCGGTCTTCTATGGGGAAGGGTCAGGCGGGAGGGTGCCAACCGCAGCCTGACCCGTACCCCACAGCCCGAGGACGAGGCGGACGAGGAGCCGGCGTTGGAGGAGTTGGAGCAGCGCGAGGTGCTGGTGCTGGGGCTGGATGGCTCTGGGAAGAGCACGTTCCTGCGTGTGCTGGCCGGGAAGCCACCGCTGGAAGGCCACATCCCCACCTGGGGCTTCAACTCCGTGCGGCTGCCCACCAAGAACTTCGAGGTGGACCTGCTGGAGAGTGAGCAGACCCTCCCCGCCCCCCCACACACACTCCCGCTGTCTCCCCATCATCTCAGCTGGACCCAAGCCGTGGCTATTTATCTAAGCAGGACACGCCCCTGTAGAAAGTCCTTCCCACGCCTCCCTGCGACACAGGATATAGTCCAACCTCTGTACTCTGTCCCTCACCCTTACTGCAGCCCACATGCCTAACACTGAGATACTAACAACTAAAGTTTCCAGTATGCCAAGCCCTTGACAGACATCACTTTAAAAACCCTCCCAACAACTCCATAAAACCGGAAACAGTTACCACCTTCATTATATGTGAAGAAAGGAGGCCCAGAAAAATATATTTTTTTAAATTTATCGAGGCCCAGTAAAATAATTTATCCAAGCGCACGCGGCTTGCCGGTCGGCTAATGCAGACTATCTGGCTCTGGGCTCTCGATGTTAAGCACCATTTACAGTGCTTGTTTCTGAAGGGTGCTTGCTGTTTTCTTTCTAATCTTCTGTGCTTTGCATGCACACTGTTCCCCCAGTCCGAAAGCCCTTCTTCCCTTGTTAAACTGCTGTTCATCCTTCAAGATTTAAGTCAAACATGATATCCCTCTGAAGCCTTCTCTGACCCCTGTAGGCTAGATTAAGAGCTCCTCCTGCTGCAGTGTTTGCCACATACCACCCTGTGTCCCTGACTAGGCATCTGGGGCACCGATAAATCCGATCCAGCTCTGGCCTCTGGGGCCCAGCCCCAGTCAGGTACCTGGGAGAGCTTGTTGAGTGAGTGATCAGAGAGGGTCTGAGCATCCTCCTGCCCTCAGTGTTAGGCCTCTTGGGATCCCAGGAGAGGATGGGAGAGAGGGTATTGAGAGCGCAGCAATACTTAACCACCTGTGTCCAGCCACAGGCTCAGTGAGGATAGACGGGTAGCCTTCCTGCCAGCCAAAGGACTCAGACCATAAAGACTAGGTGGGTTTAGTTAAGTCCTAAAGTGGTGGGATCGGACTCTGAGGACCTGGCTTTTGGCCTGAATGGGTCCAGTTCCTCTGGTCTCAGGGCCTTGCCTGCTAGCCTGCCCTGGCTACATCTTTTCTCCCTGGCTGTAGCAAATGTTGACATTCACCTGAGATTTAGTCCTTTCAACAAGCTTTCCCTGTCTCCAACTCTTGTGCCAGGGACACAAAAAATTCAAGTGGGGGTTCTGCACTTAAGGCCCACTCTGTCTGGCAGAGACAGTATCCCCCTCCCTTCACCTTGGAAGAAGGAGTTTGGTGTTTTCATGTTACCCAGGGGTCTGCCCTGTTAACATCCCAGGCTCAGTAAGGTCACCCAACCTGGATTCAAACCCAGATCTCCCATTCAAGTCCTGGGGCTTTCCCCTCCCACAGCACACACTTCACTGTGGTCTCCTACAGTGCCTGGCCTGCAGCCCAGCTGAGAGTGAGCACTTTGTGCATTTTTGATGACTTTTCCCTTCCCCACACCTCCTATATCCATTTTATTAGCTAGTTCTGTCAGCTTTATCCTCCAGTCGAGTCTGCGTCTGTTCACTTCTCCCCACCTCCATCTCTGCCTAATTGGTCCAAGCCATGGTCACCTGTCAGGACTACAACAGTCTCCTTGCTGGTCTTCCTGCTTTCACTTCTGTCCTCAATGTTGGCCATAGGTATCTTTCAGAAACCCGTATCAGATCATGTCATTCTTGCTTAAAATGCTTAAGGGGCTCCCCACAGACTCACTGTGGTTTTACAGGCCCTGTGTGGTCCAGCCCTGGGCAGCCTTGCTGGTCATGGCTTCCTCCTCTCCCCTTCTGGCGGCGCCTCAGCCTTCCGTTTCTCGAACACATGGATCTTGTTCTGCTTCTCTCTGCCTCATCTCATGACTAGCTCCTTCTCGTCATCCCAGACTCAGCTCACATGCTGCCTCCTTAGACCACCTTCCCAGACCAACCAGTCCAAAGCCACCAGCACATACAACCACCTCACCCCGCCCCTTTCACTTTTTCTGTTTTACTTCCTTCCTTTGTGGAATGTGTTTATGTGTTACCTGCTGTGTTGTTTCTGGTTACGGAGGGAGCTCCTTGAGAGCAGGGCCCCTGCCTGCCTTGCTCACCTCTGTATCTCCAGCACCCAGATCAGTGCTTGGCACCTAGTAAGCACTCAGTATATACTTGTTGAGTGCCTGCTATGTGCCAGGCATTGTGCTGAGGGCTTTGGGGGGATCCAGAGATAAATAGCTCTAACTCTCAAAGAGCTTAGAGCCCACAAGTGTCAGAAGTATAACCAGAAACACTAGGATGCAGGATGACCAGTGAGGACTTTGCAGAGGGACAGAGGGGAACAGGAATAACCCAGGTTGGGGGTGCTACTTGGGCAGCCACTTGGTGACACTATTGAGTATGGTGTTTCCAAGGAAAGAAAATGGGGCGACTAGACTGAACAAGAGAAGCCGAATGGAGAATGGCTGTGCACAGGCAGGGCAGGAAGTCCTGGCTGCTGACCACAGCTGCCACTGACCCAGGAGGAAGCTAGGATTTGGTAGTAGGCAAGGCAGCCCAGGAGAAAGAACCAGAGTACTATTTATTGAGCATATAGTATACACCAGTCCTGTGAAAGGTGCATTGCATGTGGTACCTTTGGGTTTTGCTGCAACCTGTTAGGTAAGTTCAGTGAGGAGGAGACTGAGGCTCGGAGGTAGCGACCTGCGCAGGGCGACCTAGCTGTCAGAGCTGGAGCTAAACCCAGGTCTGATTGGCTCTGGAACCTGTGGACTTTCCCTTGCTCCTGGCCAGTGGAGCCTTGGAAGGCAGGAAGTGGGGTGGGGTCAGGCTATATGTAGAGAGCCAGGGCCCAGGGAGGCTCTGAGCTGGCCCCTGGCCTCTCCTCAGTCGGTGGCAGCCAGAATCTGCGCTTCTACTGGAAGGAGTTTGTGAATGAAGTGGATGTGCTGGTGTTCATGGTGGACTCGGCTGACCGGCTGCGGTTGCCCTGGGCCCGACAGGAGCTGCACAAGCTACTGGACAAGGACCCTGACCTGCCTGTCGTCATCGTGGCCAACAAGCAGGTGAGGGCCATGGGAGGCTGGCTCAGGCCAGGCGGGCTTGATCCACAGATGCCTGGGCAGGGGCAGGGAGCACTGGAGAGGTATTTGGGCCCAGGCCCATGACCTGCAACGCTTAGCTGAGAAACTGTCCCCCACCTCTGCTACCTGTACTCTTTTCTCATTCCTAATCCTCATCCTCTCTCTGCCTTCCTCTTTGCCTGTCATTTGTCATCCTAGAGAAATGAGAAAAATTATTATTAAGTGTGCACTATTTCCCAGGTTTGGTTTCAAATAACATTTCATATTATGCTTCTGTTCACCCTACAAGATATGGGATACTCTTTCCATTTTACAGATGGGGAATCTGAAGCTCAGAGAAATTTTGTACACCTTGAAAATAGTAAAATTGGAATGTCTTAACTCCAAAACCTGCACCTTTTCCTCTCTTCTATGTCCATATGATTTCTGACTCTAGATCAGAGAGCTATAGCTAGGAAGTGATAAGAAGTTGAACAGATTAAATAATAAGAACTAACATTTATTGTGTGCTTATAGCATGCCGAGCACCTGATAATCGTGACCTCACTTCAGTCTTATAAAAACCCCACTATAGGCCTTGCTGTTAGCCCAAAGTTACAGCTGGTATGTGGCAAAGCCAGGAGTTGAGCTTAGATCTTCCTCAAAGTTCCTGCTCTTCACTCTACCTCTCCTGGCCCAGCAACTCTCGGCATCACACACTTAAGGTGCCATTCTCTGCCACAGTATAGAGTCCTGTCATATTTCATGTGGCCTGTGCCCATGGTCCTGATAGCTGTGGGGCATGTTTCCAGCCTGGCTTGGAGAGAGGCTGTCCATCTTTGACCTCAGGTTCCCTCTGCCTATCAGGAAATACTTGACAGTCATTTATAAATAGGGTAACCATATGTCCTGGTCTGCCTGTTGCTCTGGTATAACTATTAATACTACCTACTTTGAGTCTCTGAAGTACCCCAGTTTGACATGGGGAGGGGGAAAGGTAAGCTGGGACAAAGTGAGAGAGTAGCAGTGAAATATATACACTACCAAGTGTAAAATAGCTAGCTAGTGGGAAGCAGCTGCATAGCACAGGGAGATCAGCTTGGTGCTCGGTGCTTTGTGACCGCCTAGAGGGGTCAAATGTAAAATAGCTAGTGGGAAGCAGCTGCATAGCACAGGGAGATCAGTTCAGTGCTTTGTGTCCACCTAGAGGAGTGGGATAGGGAGGGTGAGAGGGAGACGCAAGAGGGAGGGGATATGGGGATATATGTATATGTATAGCTGAATCACTTTGTTATAAAGCAGAAACTAACACAACATTGTAAAACAATTAGACTCCAATAAAGACGTTAAAATAAATAATTAATTAATTAAAATAAAAAGAAGTACCCCAGTTTGGACAGTGAATCACATCATCATCTTGTATATAAACTATAATTTATAGTGATTTTGAACCTGAGGTCCCAGCACTCTTATGATTTGCTCCAAGAAGAATCATTTTAATCTTGGGCTAGGCTTGAAATTAAAATGTACCATCACCAGCCATGTTGTGTAGTGGCTTCTTTTTCTCGTCACTGGGTTTCTAGAAGTCTAGGGAAGGTAAGGCCCTTGTCTGGAAGTGACCCTACTGTAAGATCCCTCCACCATTAAGTTTAGGAAACTGAGCTAGGATTCCTATAAAGGTTATAAACTTGGTCATCAAGCCAACCTGAGTTTGAAACCTGGCTCTGCCACTTATCACTGTTTCATTGGCTAAATGACTTCACCTCCCTGAGCTTATTTCCTCATCAGTTAAGTGTGGACTGTGAGAATTAAGTAAGATTAAGTGCCTATCACAATGCCTGACTTAGAGGAAGTGCTCTTTCTTAGCACAGTGGCTGTGGGTAAGAATGACGGGGTGGAAAGAGATTGATACCAAGAAAGTCAGAGATGAGAAAGAGAGTTTAGACCAAGTGGCCGTGAGAGAACTTAGGCCCCAGTGTTCCCCCAGGGAGCCGAAGAACAGTTTATTTCATAGATGACAAGGGTGGGTTGTTGGGAAACACTGTCAGTCCCGTCTGACATCTCTGTTTCATCCCAGGACCTGAGCGAGGCCATGAGTATGGTGGAGCTGCAGCAGGAGCTGGGCCTTCAGGCTGTCGATAACCAGCGGGAAGTCTTCCTCTTGGCAGCCAGCATTGCCCCTGCAGGAGCTGGCTTTGAAAATCCTGGCACCGTGCACATCTGGAGACTGCTCCTGGAGCTTCTCTCCTAGGCTGGTACCCACCTGCTCACCAGCCAGCCCTGGGACCCCAGTTCTGTTCCTCCTGCTTCTTCATCCCCAGCCGGGGCCTGGGGCACAGGCTATGTGGCAGCACTTCCCTTCTCCCCTCCTCGACCTCTCAAGAGCAGGGCCTGGGCAAGGCCAGGAACCATATGGAAGCCTTGGTGAGCTAGCCATGAGGCTGAAGCAGGGAGATGGGTGAGGCTGAGGGTGGGAGAGAATGGTGTCTTGCCCATTCTGGGCTGGGAGTGAATCCCACTTTCACCAGGGAAGGCAGCCTCGTCCTCTGACCTGTACAGTGAGCTGCTCAGCAGGCTTAGTTCTCCCCGCCCTATAGGCCCCAGTGGTTGAGGACCATTGTAGGTGTCCGAAGTATGCCCAGTCTAGACCATTCCCTCCTGGTGACTTCACACCCCTCTAATGTGGGCAGGTTCTAGGCAGTACACTGTGAGCTCAGACCCCCACTCCTGCATTATCCTCCAAGCCCAGCTGGCTCATGGCCTTGTGTAATCCCTCCCTCTCTGGCCCCAGGGCCATCCTTTTTAAAGAGAAGTGATTTCTATGTTTTTTTTCTAACTTGGAGATGTATTTCCCAGCCATGAAGATAACAAGCTCAAGGACGAACCTAGAGATCCTAGCAAGGAGCTTTCTGAAACCTCCCTGCTTCCCCGAGGTTGAGGCCTGGCCCACCAGCCTCTTGACTACAGAGTAAGTGGTATTCACCCGCTAATCAGAAAAATTGAAAGCTTCCCCCAGCCCCCAACCCCACCAAAATCTGGAGACAGAAGCTGCTGCTCTTACACTAACTGTGCCAATGCCCATGTTTACATAAGTCTGGGGAAGGAAGGAGCCTGCCTGTGTCCCTGGGAAGAAGACTGTCAGCGGAGCGGGATGTTGCCCTCCAAACTGCATTTATTTATTTATTTATTTATAAAAGGAACAGGCCAAAGTTTAGGCTCTGTTTCTAGGTGCTGTTATTAAAACCCCAGATGATTGTCATGGAAAATTTGGATCTTTGAGGAAAATAACTGGAATCATGAATGACAGTGTGGTAAGCTACACGTGTCAGTGGAGACAGAGCTCGCACTCCCCTGACCCTCTGTGGCTGTAATTGATGTCATAATACTTCATGATGATCCATATGAACTTGAACTCTACCACTTGGCCCAGTAGTCAAAGGGACACAAACTCTGTGTAGGTAACATGACTCTGGGAGAGGCAATTTCATCATAGTTATCCAAATAAAAAATTAGAATTAGCAGACCAACCAACAGCATAGCCTTGGGTACATCACTCAGCCTTTCTAGACCTGTTGATTGCCCAGCTAAGGCAAAGTTGGACAGAATTTCTGCTGTCCTCTCCAGTACACATTCCACCATTCTCCTGTTTCCAGTGACCAGCCAGTTTAAGGACTGTCTCTGGATTGACACTTCTCTTTAGTGCAGACAAAAGGAGTCTTTTGTCTGTCAGGGGCCACTGAACTGTCACCTCCACAAATGGGCCTTTTTTTCAAGGAGATATCCAACTCAGTTTGCTTTTTAATTGAGAATAGAGATTATGTGCCTTTGTTTCATTTGACATTTACTCAGTGTGCTGCAGTTCCATGCTGTGGCCGGTGCAAAAGGGGCAGGCCAGGAAGGTGGGCTGTAGATGTCTCAGAATAGAATCACTTTCTTTGAAATTCTGATTAACTTTCTGCTTTAAGAAGTGATTTGACCGATTTTATTTTAAATATTTCGGGAATGACTTGGGTTTTAGAGTAGACTTTGAAGCTCTGCTGACACCTTTCATTTCGCCATTAGAAGGTTGAGAGACTTCTCTGTTCTATGAACTCCACCTCGTCCTCTAGTACTTAAAAGTTACCTTTGGAGCCAGCATTGTTGAGGGGGGCACCCTGTTCTACTAATTAAGATCTGCCTTTGGTCTAATAAGTAACACTATGTAGTACAGTTTTTAAAGTCCCCACTGTGGGGAGGTGAACTTGACTAGGGTTTAACTGTATGTACTTTAGCAACTTTCAAAGACCACTCTCAGAACTGACAGGTCCCAGTGGCACACCAGAAGACACCACTGAGGAGCACTGAAGGTCCAGGGTGCCACACCCTCGTACTTGCACAGAGTGTATAGACATTCTTTTGGCCTGTGGCTGTGCCTCACGTGTGGAGCTGCTGGCCTGTCCTGGCTGGGTGGCAAACAGTTCTCATCTGCTCCAGTTCCTACCAGGACCAGATTGGGCAAAGTGGGGGAAAGGCCTTTCTTAGGAACAGCTAACTGCCTGGCCTTGTGGTGCTCTTACCTAGTTGTTCCTGAATGTGACTTTGGTTCTGGAGCCCAGATGACTGCTTTAGGGAACCAGTCATTACCTGGAGCTGTCATCTCAAAGTGAGGTTCCTGACTAGTCTGGGTGATGCTGTGTTCCCCCTATTGCCCTGACTCTACCTGAGCTTGGGAATAGAGGGTGAATGGCTGGGCAGCTCTCATATTCTAATGAAGACAATACAGTGCCCACTTCACATGGGAAGGAAGTTTCTGCACCTACTTGGTTGAACCTGTGCCTGGATCACTTACCGTGGCTCTAGGGGCTTCTGTTATTAAGAGTTATTTAAATGAAACCATGGCTTCTGACCTGCTGCTTTGCCTCTGAAGAGAGGCCAGCCTGGCCCAGAGCTTGGACATGTAGATGGTCTAGGCAAGAGGGATCCTGAGGCTGCTGGGACCATCACCTTGGACTGGCCACCTATTCTAAGAAGCCTCCTCTGGCACTTCTTGGCGCCCAGAACTGCCCGTTGCAAGCTTGCGCTGACACATTGGTATCCAGCTGTAAGGACTGGGGAGGAGGTGAAGTTGGTCCATCCTGGCCCCCCGATCCTCCACAGAGAAATGCTAATGAAAACTCACAACTCTAGCCTATCTGTCTGAATGAAACCCCAGGTTCTCCAAAATAATGTTTCCACTTGCCTTTGGGAAAGAAACATTTTGTTCTTATGCTAGTTTAGTATCAACTGCCAGCATCTCGAACCAGCTGCCAAAACTTGCCTGTGGTGTCCATCGTCGTCCTCATCCTGCCCCAGACCTCAGACCTGGGCAGTCTGAGCAGTTTGCCTCTCATCTTTGCTGTGTGCGCCCACATCCTCTAAGTCCTTTCTAGTAACTGAAAAGGGGAACCTCCAAGTTTTCCTGCTGCCTCCAGGAGGTGGGCCTATTAAGGGACAAGGGGAAGACTGCCATCAAAGATCTGAAGTAAAGGAGCCTTGCTGTCCCAGCCCATGCCCTGTGAACACGGACCCACGAACTGCATAAAACGGAGTGCTGGTGGCTGTTTAAGGTATACAATAAACGCAAAAAATTTGGATATGGTTTCACATAAATTCTGATTTTGAGGAACGTGTGCTTGGTGCTTATAGTTCCAGTGAGGGGCAGCTATGGAGGGTGGTCCCAGAACACTTCCTGTGACAGAACGTGTCAAACAGCAAGTTCCAGTTCCCTGGCTCTTCAGTCCACATGGGGGTGGGGGGGGGGTTTAAGGAACATCAGCTTTGACCTAATTCAGTACTTTTGGGGAGGAACCCAAACCCTTTCTTGGGAGGAGTTCTAGCTGTCGGGGCCAGAGCTAGGCGTGGAAATGGGAGCGAGAACATCTTTTGAGTGCCTCCATGCCAGAGGTCAGAATGCAGGCGGCACCATTCCACAAACATTCCCCCAGTACCTGCCTTGGGCTGGGCTCTGGGATTCCCAGACAAGGTCCCTGCACTCAAGCCCAGTCTGGTAGAGAATGTCAGCCAGACTAAAAGGTAGTTATGACTGTGATAAGCACTGCTACAGGAAGTCTGGGGCATGGGAACTCCAGCCTGGGGGCAGAGGAAAGTGGTATGGAAGACTTCCTAAAGTTGGCACCTGAACTGGGTGAAGAAACAAGGTTAAGGGCCCAGCCTGGTCAAAGGCCTGAATTTGGAATGCTGTGAAGGGCAGAAGTTAGGAGGCCAAATCATGAAGGCCCCCAGGAGCTCTGCTGCAGACTCAAATCATAAAGGCTGTGCTTGAGGTGTTCACAATGGCCAGTCACTGCTGGAGTCTAGCAGGCCACATCTGATGGGGGGTGGTTTCTGCCTAGTTTCCAGCCTGCCTTAATGGTGTGGGACAGGTGGGCTGCCTTCAGGGTCCAAAGAGAAGGTCAGCAAGAGAAAGTCTAGGCTTAGTCATCGTGCAGACTTGACTTCAAACCCCACGTTAACGCCTCTCAAGCCTGTTTCCTTACCTGCAAGATGAGGATCCCACACAACCTTACAGGGTTTTATGTGAAATGTTCTATGTAAAAACATATGCCCTTCTTTTCAAGAGCAGTGAGGAGACAAATTTTACATGCTTTAAGGAGAAAGCTTAGAAACAGGTTTTCTGTATTATTAATAGCGGAGGATAACGTATCAAGACAAGAAAATGCCCAGCACCCACCCCACACTTTGTGATCCTGCTACATACCAGCCATGCCACCGAATTAGGCAGGCCTGGCCCCAGGGAATGGCCATGCAGTGTGTAGCCCAGTGCCTGGCACACAGCACAGTGGTATTCAGCAGTCCCCAGACGGTCTCAGCAGGTTTGGGGGCCTCAGACTCCCTTCAGGAAAGACAAGTAGCAAAGGCAGGTCTCTTGAAGACAGACCAGGAGGCAGCTATACAGCTCCTTACCCTCTGGCCCTTGAGCCACAGCTGGCCTCAGACCAGGGCCATGGAGAACTGGTCCACCAGCCCCGAGCCTGGGGTGAGGCAAGCACTGGAAGCCCCTCCCAAGCAGCCCAGGGTTCCCAGCAGGCTTCTGTAGAAGCGTTAGTGGAACTGCTATGCAGGAAACGAAGGCAGAGAGCAGTGGAACCAGAACAGGGGAGAAGAGGAGGGAGGCTGTGCCTAGAAAGGCATGTGAATATGGAGCAAAAAGGGCTGAATGGCCTATTAACCTTGGCTGAGTAGGTTTTTGCAGGGGCAGCCCCAGGGCTTGGCTGGGAGGGGCAGATACAAAACCATCAGAGAAGTAAAATACTGTATTTTATTGTACACAGACTGTATTCAAACAAACCACCCACTCTGAAAACAGCAGGTTCTGGCTTTTCCCAGAGACTCCAGAAGAACATAAATTGAAGCCTCTGGGAGACAGTGCCTTCCCCAATGGGAAGTGTGAGAGATATTTTGTGTGTGTGTGTGTATGTGTGCGCTGTAACCTTTTGATTCCATGGGGTTTGGCTAGCCTAATCTGTAGCCGCACACCTCTCCTTGCCTTAAACCCTGGCTCAGCTTCTCTGGTCCAGGAGGAAGCCTCAACCTGGGGCAGGTGTAAACCAGTCACTCAACCTCCATCTTATTCTTTTGCAACGAATCGACAAAGGCTTGCCACTCCGCTGGGTAAAAACGCTTATAGACGTTGATCTTATTCCGAATCTGTTTCGGGGTATCTTGATAGTAATTCTTCTCATCCCGGGCCATAGCCTAAGAAGGGAAAAGGGCCACTTGAAGAAGGCTGGACAGGCAAGGTTCAAATCCTAGCCCTGAGTTGGGCAAGCTACTTCCCATCCCTCAGGTTCAGATTCCTCACCTTAAAAGCCATAGTGTATGTGGGGAAATGCCCTCAGGGACTAGGCAGAAACCGGGACCAGCTGAGTAGCTCATTCTCCATCCATCGCCAACTGATCCCACCTGGGCACGGGGGTCCAATGTACCCAGATCTTTCCATTTTTAGAAGCCAAAAATAAGGACTTTTATTTGAAACCTCCGATAATTAAAATGGCAACTACAGTTAACCCTTGAACAACACAGATGTGAACTGCATGGGTCGACTTATACACAGATATTTTTCAGTAGTAAATACGACAGCACTACATGGTCCGTGGTTGGTTGAATCCCTAGATGCGAGGAACCACAGACTTGGAGGACCAACTATAAATATAGACAGATTAACTCTCAAGTTGTTCAAGGGTCACCTGTAGTTCAAGTTAATAAAAATACCATGCAAGCAAAACATATTAATGACTGTGATATGAACCACAGGCCACTCAGTCTACCTAATTATAAGCATTCTGTCAATGGCATCCATTTCTTAGGGTCTCTCTTTCCTCTGTTTCCACTCAGTCTCAGGAAACAGGCAATAGCCAAGCATGTCAGACCCTGAATGGTCCAGGGTACCTTCCCAAAGGGCCCCAAGTGGTTCCTCCTGCCAGGCCTAAGCTACTCACCTTATAGTCCTCCCCATGGTTCTCCACCATGTAGCAAACATAGTCAATGAGATCCCGAGATAGCGTATTTCCTTTCTTTTCTGGAAGGCTGGCTTCTGCCTCCAGGTCTGGATTGAGAGAAGCCGAGAGACAGGGAATGAGGCTTTGCTTCCTGCACAAGTTGAGCTGCTCAGTCAATCCCAAGCCACAAGAATTGCTACACCAACCATCAGATGAGCTTTTCCATCTGCAAATTCAGTGCTAGAAACTTCTTTTTAGCCCCTCAGGTCCCAGGCTCTGTCTATGGCACAAGCATCTATCAGTATAGCAATGAACTGAAAGGCAAGTCACCACTCTTTGGGCCTCAGATGGGTGAAAGAAAGGCACCAAACTAAAAATCTCTACTTAATGCCAGGTCCTGGGGACAGAGATGAAGATGCAGTGCCTGTCCACAGGACAGGGCTCCCTTCCAGCTCTAAAACTCTCTGAGAACCTCTTGAAGAGTTAATAACAATACGTGAAATGGAAAGGTGTGAATAAATGAGAACTCGAGCTGTAAGAACCAGGGCCTCAGGCACCTCTCTACTCCATGTGAGGGGAAAAGCCAAGCTCCAATAATGGCCTCACACCTAAAATAGCTAGGTAAATACTCCCCCATTCCTCATCTATGAAGGGAGAAAAATAGCTACCTCATGGAAATGAGGTAGTCAAATCTTGTCCGGGGTCAGGTGCTAAAATTGCTTATAGTCAAAATTAACTTGGTTGCCATGGGTTGCAGGGAGGGGAGCACAGGGCATTATTGTTTCATGAGTAAAGAGTTTCAGTCGTGCAAGATGAAAGTTCTGGAGTTCTGTTGCAAGACAATGTGAATATACTTAACACTAATGAGCTATACATTTTAAAACGATTAAGATGGTAAATTTTATGTGCTTTTTAACCACAATTAAATTTTGTTTTAATTAAAGAATTAAAAGTAAAACTTTTTAAGATTAGCTTTGACTACAGAGAGTACACACGATTTTGTATATACAGTCCTGTGCAGTCAGTAGCTCTTACAAGAATCATTAAAATAGACTACAGACGGGAACTCACAGAATTCTATATCAAATGCCTGGTCATTCAGATACTTTAAACTTTAGGAGAACTGTTAAAATTCACAGACAGGAAAGAGGAAGGATGGGTAGAATATTCTAGAGTATTCCTGCTTCCCTGCAGAATTTACCCTCTTCTGTTTTAATATTCAGTCTCTATAGCCTTAATATACATAAAATTGGATTTATCATTGGAAAGATTACATGGTGGAATCTTTAAAAAAAATCTGTTCATCCTTAATCTCATAAGAAGCTGAATGTATGCCTGAGACTTACCGTTTTCTCTTCTATCCTCTCAGGCACTAGTTACATCCTCCCTGAACATCTCTGACCTCCCTTCACACACTGGAGCTTATCCAGTAGACTGAAAATGTCTCAGCCGGGACACAGTCCTAACTCTGCAAGCTGAGCCCTAGAACAGCTCACTTTTTCCCTCTGAACCTCAGTTTCTCCATCTGTGAAGTGAGAACATCTGAGGGTCCTTTCCAGCTCTAACTAAGCAGGCTGGTGACCTAGAGGAATGTGGCCCACACCCACCATTAAGCACATAGGGCTTCCGCATGAGCTCCTTAGGCCCCTCCTCCACGTCCACTTCCAGGGCCTTTACCTGCAGAGAACACAGACCGTGAGACCAGGAGACACAGGAAAAGATCCTGGATGAGGGGAAATTCTAAAGGCTCCTGCCCGTCCCAACACAACTGCATTACCCACAAGGATCCCTCCACAAAGGCAAGAATAGATGACAGAAAGAACTAATGCCCTCCCTGGAAGCTTCGTGGTTCCCAAGAGGCTCAAGTAAGCAATTCATCTTTCTGTGCCTAACTATAAAATGGGCATGATACCGCTTGCCTGCCTCACTTAACTGTGCGGTTAGCAAATGAAACAATGCACGTGAAAGCACTTTATACTTTACAGTGATGTCAGACATCTTCTCTTATGCAGAGGAGCAAGCTGACGGTGCTGGCTATAGCTTCATAATTGTTCAAGAAACAGGAGCACCATTTTCTTCTGGCATGAAGGGATAAAAAGAAACATGCCTGAAGGCAATGGGACAAATCCAATCAGCAAGCCCATTCATTAGGTTGACTATTTATTGAGCACTAGTCACATCCTAAGCACCACAGGATTTAGTAGTGAATGGAACAGATTCTCGTCCCCAGGAGATTATGTTGGCAGAAAGAGGCACAGACAATAAGCAAATATACAAATATACCATCAAGTATTTACAACTGCCAATGAATTAAAATAAAAAGGAAAGAAGTTACTGAGTGAAAAGGGGTGCTATTTTTGAGAGCGGGTCCAGAAAAAGAATTATTCCGGAGAAATTAGCCCTGGGAAAAACTACCCCTAGGGAAGCCTCAGACCAAGGACGACTGAATAACTGAGGAAAGGTGTAAGGAACAGTAAGTAAAGATTCCAAACTCCTTATTAGAAAAGTTACGGGCAAAAAAAGATAAATTCTGGAAATATGGCTGAGATGACAAGGGACCCAAACAGTTTAATTTCAGAGGAAAAAAAGTAAGTGCAGAAGGAAAGGGGAAGTTCCAACCCAGGTCCAATGTGTGCTGGGGGAGGGAGTATGAAGGGACTCTCAACCACAGTCAGTACAGCCTGGCCGAGTTGGCTGTGGGGAAGTCGCAAACCCAGGAAGGGCGTGAGGGAGGTAATAATAGGATTAAGTTCTGAAACCCAGCTAAGTATGGCGGGAGTGGGGGGCGGCGGGAGCTGGAGGTGGAGGGCAAGGGCCGGGACCCTACCAAGTCACTACCTTTCTCTTAAGAAGGGGCACTGCCCTGTTGGGGTCCATAGCCAAACCCATATCGGCCAGGTTCTGCCGCACCGATTTGGTCTGGTCCCAGGCATGTCGGATGTGGGAGCTACGGGAAAAGAGAGGGCGATCGCGTAAGCATCATCTCGCCGGCTGTCCCGCCCGAGGCCCCCTGCCTCCTGAACCTTGGTCCCCTCACCATTCGATCCGCGGCGCTGCCTTCCGTCGAGCATTCCGGTTCAGACGCTTCCGGTTAACATTATAACCGAACTTCTGTCTCCGGGTCTTCCCCTTGGCTTTAGGCATCGCGCTGACCCCAGCGCGGGTAACTCAGACTCGGTGCCTCTCACTCCAAGTACCTCGTGTAGCGACTCCTTCCGGTTAGTGATCTCGTGGTTTCTCAGGCTTTGGGGAAATGTAGTCCACCACGCAGCGACAGCAGACTGATTACTACGACTCCCAGAGTGCCATGAGGGATTACACCTGCGTACAACACTGAGCAAAGTCCTTTTCCCCGCCCTCTTTGATGACCTCTCAGGAGGCGGGGTTTAGCGTCCGGATTTTCTCCTACTGCTGTAGCCTAAAACATGGCGACTCCTGGCCCCGTCACTCCGGAGGCACCCTTTGAATCATCGCAGTCCCCAGTCATTGAGGGCTTTATCCCCAGTGTATACAGCACTTCGGAAAGCTTCAAGGAAAAGTTTCTTCGCAAGACCCGCGAGAACCCAATGGTACCCATAGGTAAGCAAGCGGGCGCTAAAGGTACTGTAGACCAAGAAGACAGTGATGTAGAGGGGAATGAAATCGGGGAGGATCGGGGACGCCAGGGGGGACTGGAATGAGAGTGGACCAGAGATGTAGCGAAGGGGCCGGGCGGTAAGGGGCCGGGCGGTGATTGGAGCAGGAGCTGGACGTGATTGGGGCGCTGAGATGGGGCCGATTCTGATGCGGAGGACCCCCGCTTCGGCCAGCCCCTCCCACCTCAGCTCCACCCCATACCCCCGTCTCCTCAGCTGCTGTTTAGAGATTTTGACCCTGGGGGCGGGAGCCCAAAGCGGGGAGGGTGCTTCCCACCTGCTTTGTCACCTCTTCAGGCTGCCTGGGCACAGCGGCCGCCCTTACCTACGGCCTCTACTGCTTCCACCGGGGTCAGAGCCAGCGCTCCCAGCTCATGATGCGCACCCGAATCGCCGCCCAGGGCTTCACGGTCGTAGCCATCTTGATGGGTCTGGCTGCATCCACTATGAAATCTCGACCCTGAGTCGGTGGCCTGGCCTTGAAAGCTCCGCGGAGATCGTTCCCAGCTCCAGGAGCAACCACCGGTCCTGCCACTGGCATTATTCCCTCATCTCCCCTGACAAGCCCCTGTATCAGTGGAGTCAGAAGTGGCCAGTTGTGTAACCGACAGATTTTTTTCAGGAATCTCAGGTTCGGTTCAGTTTGAGTGTTGCATACTTCTAGTTGTGCTGCACCTTCTCCACTCCCTACTTAATAAACTCTGATCCACTTGTAGTTTGGTGAATTCATTCCCAGTCTCACCCCCATGCTTTTTGGTCTTTGGTTTTAGGAGAAAACAGACTAAAGACTGCAGGGGCTCTTAGAATTCCAATACTCTACTGATTCTCAAACTTTCCTGGTAACAATCACCCTGGGGTACTTATTAAAAGTAGAGAGTCTCTACAGTGATGTTATATGAAAAGAAACAAAAAACAAAAAACTGAGCTTTCCAACAGTTTTCAAACTTTCAGTAGAAAACCTTCCTTCATATGAGGCCTGCCATGGTTCTTTCAGAGGCAGGGGGCTCTGCCTTCCACTTCTGCTCCTGACCCCAATCCCACCTCCTGAGAGCACCTAAGGCTCCACTGATCTAGACCATCTCAGCTTGGTTCTTGATGCATTTTATGGACCAGGAAACTGAGGCTTAGAGAAGCAGCCAGGTGTAACAGAAAGAGCATAAAGCATAATCCCAAAGCTTGCCAGTGGTTTGTGGCAGCACCTAGTGTTTTATGGCTAAGGAAAAAAGGAGGCTGGGGACCTGAGCAACCTCTAGAAGAGAGGCAACTCATGAGTTTCTCATTCATGTAAAGTCTCAAACAGGTGTTCCTGGTCTGCAGTCATCCCTAAAGTCTTGATTCGGATTCAGGTTCCTTGCATCTGTGACTCCATCAGTTTCAACACCAGCTGAATGACTTAGGCCAGCTAAGTTTCTTGCCCCCACCATGCTCTTTCAGCTGTAAGACAGAGATTATAAATGTAAAGCAGTACTTGTGGTGACACTTGGCCTCCACAAGGAACAGATATGAAGTGGTGAGGACTATGGCACTTCTAGAGAGGATGGCCACTATTTTTAGCTGTTGGTGTCGTGGGCTCCCCCTCTCCAAAAAAGAAAAGATTAGTTGAAGTCCTAACCCCAGTACCTCAGAATGTGACCTTATTTGGGAATAGGGTCTTTTCAGAGGTAATCAAGTTAAAATGAGGTCAGTAGGGTGGGCCCTAATCCAATATGACTGGTGTCCTTATACAAAGGGGAAATTTGGACACAGCAACAGACACGTATAGAGAACAGGTGATGTGAAGATGAACTCAGGATTGTAGTAATGCTTGTACAAGGCAAGGAACACACATTCTTCCCTAGTGCCTTTAGAGGAATCATGGCCCTGCTGACACCATGATTTCAGATTTATGACCTCCAGAACAGTGAGACAATAAATTTCTGTTGTTCTAAACCAGACGCTGTGGTATTTTGTTATGGCAGCTCTAGGAAACTAATACGGTTGGCAATTAAATATTTTTAAACATTGTTCAGATCACAATGGCTTGAACATAACCTGTTTGCAACTCTGTTGAAGGGGAAGGTGTTGTCACTGATTGTTTCTCCCAAATCCACAGAAGAGCACAGCTGAAAGAGGCAGAGGGTCCTGACCAATCCCAAGGAAGGGCTGTGGCAGAGGCTACCTTCACCAGCCCCTCACCCAGGCAAAGAGGAAGCCCCCACCGGGAACCTCTGGTCTTGCCTCTTCCCTCCAAGCTGCTTCCCCTCTGGGTGTCTGTGGCTATATGACAGACCAACAGAATCCCTATGTCACGGGTTTGTTCTAGGATCACAAAGGATCAAGCTTGCAAAAGCATTCTGTGAGAGGTTGTCTTTCCTCCTGGGGCTGGAGGCAGCAGGCATAGATTGGGATGCCCTCTGCCAGTCCTAGGTTACCAGGGAAATAGCCCTACCTTCTCTCAGGCCCATGAAGCTGGGAAAGTTCTAAGCACAAACAGCCCTGACACCAGTTTGTGGCTTCCAGAGAAATGAGAATGAAATAAGTGTAAAAAGAGTTAACAACACACCCTTTAAGCCAAGAAAAAAAAATACATCAGGAGGGACAGTCACAATTTGGTGGACTGAGAGGAGATGTGAGGGGCTGGGCCGTAGGGCCGTGAGGGAATGACAGTTGAGAGGGGTGAGGGTTCCCCTTCCCGGCCCCAGGAGATGGTGAGGAACGGAATAGGCTGTGTAGCAGCTACTGGAGGCATTTCCCCCTTGGCTAAAGCAGCTGCTCCTCCTCTGCCCGGCCCGGCCCCTGTATGGCGGCCATGTTGGTGGCAGGCTCCTAGCGGGACAGCGGCGTCTGCTTCAGGGACATGAGCACCGAGCGCAGGCGGGACACGTCTTTGCACTGCTTGCTGCTCTTGGGGTTGAAGTCACACAGCTGGGCCACCTTCTCCCACTCTGTGCCTGGGGTCTCCTCCTTGGATTCCTTCACAAAAGCCTCCTCAGATGCCCTGCAGGTGGAGATAGGACAGAGGTTTCATAGCTGTCTGCCTTTCCCCTTAATCAGTGATGCTGTGCTCCCACTGAGCAAGGCTGCTTTGTCCAGCCTACTCTGGGGTCCTTTGTCTAGACGTCTCCTCCCCAGGCCCGGGCCCTCTGACCTCAGGCCCCCAGGAACAGCCTTGCCATCAGAGGAAGCCTAGTTTGGTCCTACCTCAGGGCCTTTGTACTTTCGGTCACCTCTTCCCCCAGACCTGTTCATGGCTTGTTGCTTCTTGTAATTCAGGTCTGAGTGCAGGCCTTACCTCCTCAGAAAGGTCTTCCCTTGGCACTGTAGCTCAAGTAGCCTCCTACCCCTGCCCCAGCACTGTCCATTACCTCTCTATCGAGAGTTCCCAAACTGGGTCTCCTGACACCTGAAGGCCCTTGGAGGAACTAATGCAGTATCTCAGCTATTTTCAACATTTCCAAAAACTGAGCAGGACATTGACTAACCACCTAGCTGAAGTCTCTGGTTCAGCATTGCCTCGGGGTTCCATGGACCCTATAAGTGTTCTTTAGAAAAGAGCTGTGGTCAAAAGTGTATAGAAGAATCAGTTAAAGAAGATCTTCAAAACAAGACTTGCAAAGCCTTTAATGTGCTTCTGTGCACCACGAATGTGAGTACTCGATGGAGATAGAATCTGCCATATCCCAAGCATACTTGACTACAGAACTCTTTTTAGCCCCAAATGACTATTATCTCTGTGGCGCCACAGCCTGAGGAATGCTCCACTGGAGTCTTTGCCTTTGATTGGAATCAAATTAGGATGGAAACTGGTGGGTTTTTCATCAGAAGTTCTGGCTGACAGTTATGGAAGCCACTTAAATTAAAGATTAAAGAACAGTGGGGAAACAAGGTATAATAAATGTAGTTTAGTGGACAAAACCTAAACATGGGAGTCATTAAGAGAAAAGCAATGAGGGATTCTGGGGTGGGGAGGGCCGGGTCTGTGTCCTGTTTAGCCAACAAGTGTCCCTAAAGCTCCTTTCTCCTTAGAAGCCCCCTGCATCTCAAGCAGGACCAGTTCTGCCACATGCCAGGCACTGACTGATGGCAGGGAGCTCTCCAGGTGATCCCCACGGCTCAGGATGAGCCGGCCCCAGATCAGGTGACCCGGCCCCTCGCTAGTGATCTTGCTTCCCTGCTGTGTGCTTATTTCCTAACCTGGGGAGGAGGATCAGTGCCTCCACCTTGCTGATCTGTCTCACTGGCCTGAGAGTCAAACAACGTAGCAGGTGTGTGCTGGCTTGAGTAAATGTAAGGTGCTGTGTGGCATTGGCTGACCAGTGGGGCTGAGGGGAGCGATCCTAGGAGCTCTCTCTTCTGGGTCAAGAGGCTTGCCTCTAACCTTGTTGCTCAAAGTGGGGCTCATGGTCCAGCAGCACCGGCATCACCATGGAGCTTGTTGCAAATGCAGAATCATGGCCTCACCTCAGTCCTTCTGAATCAGAATCTCCACTTTGACAAGAGGCCCTGGTGGTTCATAGGCACATGGAAGTCTGAGAAACGCTGGTCTAGACTATTCCTCTCTTCAGGACTCCCTTGGGTGCTCCTTGGGCCATTTCTTCGGGTGCAACAGGAGCACTGAACGCCCTGTGGTATTCCTCAGTGCCGATGCCCTTCTTCCATCCCCACTCTCCTGCTTGAAACCTCCCATGGCTCCCCGCTGCCTTCAGGGTCAAGTCTGAGCTTTTTAACATCTCACGACAGGCTTTTTGCAACTGGCTCCAAACTGACCTTCCTTCTCTCCCCACTCCCACCGCTCCAGGCACTGCAGGCCGCTAGATATTTCCCATCTCCTCGCCTTTGCCCCAGCAGCTTTTCCCACCTAGGATGCCATTCCCTTCTCACCCTCCCCACCCAGCTCGCTCCTTCTCACACTTTAAGGGCCGGCGGACTCTGACCTCTGAAGCCTGCCCGGGCTCTCCCTGAGCCCACCGTGTCCTTGCATGTGGCTCTTATCACAACACACTCTTGATCATGAGCAACTTGGGGGGACAGACCGTGTGTGTCTTACTCCTGTCTGACCAGAGACTGGCACTGGACAGATGGGAGAGTGGACAGAAGGAAGGAGTGGAAGGCTGTTATTCTGGTGTGTCCCATGATCTGTGAGAGAAGCGTTAGCCCAGACAGTATCAGAGGCCTGCCAAGGGCGTATCCAGAGCGAGGAACAGCAAATATTTGGCACATACACACGTGGCAATCATCACACATTCATCACTGCATTGTTTTCTTCGGCTTCACAATCCCCAGCACACCGTCCAGGCTGTCACTACCAGCCAGCGGGGCGGCATAAGAGGAAATCTCTGCCATCTCTGGTCTGGATCAGGCACGGGACCAACTAGACCTCAAAGCAGAAACACCTGAAAGGAAACCACAGGTGGTCTGGACAGGGGATCATGACCAAATTCAGGCTGAAGTTCTAAGGAGGAGCAGTGCACCTGTGGGCAGGAGC